CAAATATGGAATCCTGAGACTCAGACATTTTCAATTATATGTTTTTTGTCAAGATTATAAAAAGGTTTGATTCTAAAAGACCGTAATGCATTTTGTAATATGACACTTGACACCGCCGCTAAGGGGGAGGAGACCGCCAAAATATTTTAAAGTACCATTTCCATGGTAAGGCAATGTCTGATTTCAAAATGGTTTTCACAGGATGAATCTTGATGATGAATTTCAAATGATATATAATTTATGCTGATTACTTAAAGATTTGATAGAGAAAAAGGACAACAAAAAAAGAGCACCAAGTGTCCCACAGGTGGGACGGTGACAGTTAAGGGGTTGGATTTTCAAGCAGAGAAGACTTAACATTCATTTCCACCAAAAGTAACATTGCAGCAAAAATTACTGTTTGTTCACAGGCAGAGATGTCGACTGTTGTCCAAATGTTCTTATTTCATTTTTAATTAATACTTTTTTTGTGCTACTTTAAATGAGATTTCTTTGTCCCCTCTTCCATTTTTCAGCTTTTTTCCCCTTTCTGTCTTGATGCAGCTCTAGCAGTGGAAGAGCGGGCTCGTCAGTTGCAAATGAGAGTACATTCCCATCGGCCGGCCTCTTATGCCAGCTCTGGTCCCGACCCAGAGGCAGAGCTCAAAAACAGGAGAGATGTGAGTGTAAAACTGCTTTTTAGGCCTCCAACTCATGTGTCTGGCAGTGCTGTTATGTATGGCAGGTCGCTAATTCTTTTTTCATTGATGGTTTAGATGTATAAGGATCAGAGGAGGAGTTGTGATAACATGTCTGCGAGGTCATCAGACAGTGACATGAGCGATGCATCAGCCATCTCCCATGCCAGCAGTGCCTCACGATTGAGTGCCACCAGCTACATGTCCATTCAGTCTGAGAGACCACATGGGAGAATCAGGTTAGCCTATTAAGAAACACACGGGATCCAAATGTAACACTCCGCAAGTGTGATAAACTGTTTAAGAATAGGATAACTATAAATTGGTAGTGGCCGTTAACTTTATTAGAAAATGCAACATAATACAAGGTCGTAAAAATGATAGTGTGACCCTCGCTGATATTAACAACACAAGCTACACAAATCAGACATATAAACTTTTGTCTGTCTCTTTTTATTTTTAAATCAATATGGTACAAGATTATCCTATTAAAGTCAATGTGATAAAAGTAATTAAAAAGTAGTTACCTTAAATTAGCAATGTAATAGATGACTACAAGTTGTTTGTTTGTTTATTTATTTATTTATTTGACAATTGGGGTTAAAAATTTGGATTGAATTTATACCCTACGTACACACCCACTAGGTATATTCAGCCTAAGTCCGTGAAGATAAGACTCAGGTCAGAATTCACACATACTTAATATGTGTATAGGACATGACAGTAAAAGTTTTTGTACTTTTTACTCTTTCTCTCTCTTTAGCGCTCTGCTATTTTTCCTTTCTCTGAAAAAAAAAAAATCATATTCTGTTCCATCACCTCAAAATTACATCAATGTTCACTTGCAATGCTTATTTATCTCCCTCTACAACAATCATAATATGTAACACTCCGCAAGTGTGATAAACTGTTTAAAAATAGGATAACTATAAATTGGTAGTGGCCGTTAACTTTATTAGTAAATGCAACATAATACAAGGTCGTAAAAATGATAGTGTGACCCTCACTGATATTAACAACACAAGCTACACAAATCAGACATATAAACTTTTGTCTGTCTCTTTTTATTTTTAAATCAATATGGTACAAGATTATCCTATTAAAGTCAATGTGATAAAAGTAATTAAAAAGTAGTTACCTTAAATTAGCAATGTAATAGATGACTACAAGTTGTTTGTTTGTTTATTTATTTATTTATTTGACAATTGGGGTTAAAAATTTGGATTGAATTTATACCCTACGTACACACCCACTAGGTATATTCAGCCTAAGTCCGTGAAGATAAGACTCAGGTCAGAATTCACACATACTTAATATGTGTATAGGACATGACAGTAAAAGTTTTTGTACTTTTTACTCTTTCTCTCTCTTTAGCGCTCTGCTATTTTTCCTTTCTCTGAAAAAAAAAAAATCATATTCTGTTCCATCACCTCAAAATTACATCAATGTTCACTTGCAATGCTTATTTATCTCCCTCTACAACAATCATAATATTTCTCCCTAGTAAAATTGTAAAATGATTCTATACAAAGCAGCAATTATTCAATTCGGGTCACAAAAAAATTATGTGTGTCCTCAGGTTGTGATATTTATTTTTTGTTATTAGTGGTGTGTTGGCATTTGCATGCTCTTAACTGTCTGTCTTCTGCATGGCTTGTGACATTTTTATTTTCTGCATGATTTACTTTTCATGCTATTACGGCTTGTGCTCTATTGCATGCATGCATATTGCATTGGGGGTCAAAGGTCAAAGTCGTTGGAGAGTTGTAAAGGAGATGAAAAGAAGGAGAGAAGGATTTCATGGGGGGTGAATGGAACAGACAACAGGAGGAGTCTGGGAAAGAGACGTTTCTCTGAGGAGCTTAAACGCAGGCGTCATACGGTGGCTGGAGATGTGAGGTAACATGGACCAGCTCCCCCTGCCCAAGTCTTCACCTTAACCACCACTGAATAAAAGTTTTTCCTTACCTTATTGTCTTATTTCTGCTGATAGCGCTGGTTATTTACATACACTTTCTGCATTGTTTTACCATCTAATTTGCTAAAAGAACTTTGCAAACAGCGCATAGAAAATTACTCAACAAATCTTCTCAAATTCCGTTGTCGGCTCTTTAAAATGCAAAAAGCATGCTCAACCACACCGCACATCTGGACATGTGCCCAGTTCTTCTCCAACATTTGATCCTCATTTGATGAATTACTGCTGCCATGACCACTAGAAAATGTAGGCAAACATCTCTCTTAAATGAAATTCCATTTACCACCTGCATACCATGGTTGGTAATAGTGCAAACTTACTTTTGTGAACATGGCACATTCTATAATAAGACTAATTTACATAGAAAGGAGGCAATGACAATGCTAAGAAAAAAATTGCATTCCTGGCATAGAGCATGTCATTAACAATGCCAAGGTTATGGGATTTATTCCCGTAGAGTGCATGAATTGATAAATAAGTATACCTTGAATGCAATTATGTCACTTCAGATAAAAGCATATAATGAAAAAGATAAACTACATAAATGTAAATGTAAAATGAAAAAAATGAATGGTTTTAATTGTTATATTAATTATTAAATTATTAATAATTCAGTAATCCTTGAAATGTTTTTAAAATTTCAAACTTTGACTTATTGAAAAAAAAAATCATTACAATTATTTAATAAACACTTAACTTGTATTACACATTCTAAGTAACTAGATAATAGACATTGATAGACATTATTTAGTATATGCTCCTCTAGCTAAGTCTGGTTCTTCTTTAGGCTTTTCCCCCTCCACATCTTAAACATTTGTCCTTGCCACAGTTTAAGACATCATGATTTTCTTTAAAGATGCTATAAAATCACATAAATTGTGAATAGTTCTGTATACAAATAAAAATTACTGTTCTTGACTATAGAGGCACTAGAAAAATGGTATGGCCAAAGTGGATAAGCATAATCAATACATATCATAAACATATCACCAAATGCCTTAAATGGATTAGAAAAACTTCACAATGATGGTAGGACTGTTTTGAGTTGTTATCTTTAATTGGACATTGTTTTTGGAATCACGAACATTCTATCGATTCTTTTCCTCTCTCTTTTCTGACATCTTTGGGCTTTACTAACCAATTATATCTTCAATGTTTCTGATCAATTTGAAGCCACACACCAGATATCAATTTGAATGAAGTCTGCTTGGTTCAAACAAACATAGGTATTTGACATGAAATCATTTTGGGAAGTTGCCTAGTGTGACAAACTTAACAACATTTAAAACTATTTTATAAAGCTATTTTTTTATGATTACAATGCATGCCATTTTTGATATATAAATTGACTATGAAATATTTGTTAACCTTTAAAATTGGCTTGTGAAGGCAAAATGTTGTTAAAAATAGTGAAGAACTAAAATGTTATATTGTCTAAAATATACGTTTTTCTATACATTCATATGAATTGTAAACTAAAATACTGATGTTGAAAAAATGAGAAAGTATTAATATATTTATTATATATATATTCATTTAAATCTTTTTATTATTTAATATATCTTAATTTTACCAAAAAAAGGATTCAACTATTCATATTGTAATGGAATATTCTTCTCTGCTGTCTTAAAATTATCCTTTACACTACATGTAGTTTGAGAGGTTCATTGTGCATGCTGTTTGATTTTATTTGTTTGTATTTCTGCTTCATTTACATCCCACTCTCTGTGTCTGTGTAAATGTGTGTCCTGTGTATTGTATTGTGTGTATCAGAGCCCTCTTTGCATGCCTCACCTCATACATCCCATGCTTGAATACTGAGTCAGCACTGGATCCTCCCAAACCAACACCCCTGTCTGCTCACCCCTCTGTCACTACCCTCCAGCCTATGGAAGAGTGACCCGCCTCCTTACTTCCTATCCCCACCCTATGTCCATCAGAGAGGGGGTTAGGGTGTGGAGATGATGGGGAGAGTGCAACTGGACAGTCCTGCAGTACCTTGAATCCGTCAGAGGGCGCAGACACACGGCAGCTCCTCCGAACCCCCAGGGGGCAGCAGAGGACATGGTTGCACTGTCAAAGTGTTCTGCTGTGTCATAATATAGACAGTTCGAACAAATAAACCATAAATGTTGCTGTTTAATTAGCACAGTTCTGTTAACTCAAATGTAAATCTAGTTTTAAGAACCTCATTAAGCAAAATTACACTTTTGAGTCTTTTAGTCACTGTGTTCCCTATCAAAAGCTACTCTTGATGCTGCGTTTCAATAATGCTGATGAGAACATTCTTTGTTCGACCGATTGTGAAGCACGTGTGCCAACACGCCAAGAATTTGCTTAAATAACCTCGGTGGGTGACGTCATTTGATTACGTGCACCTGCAGGTTATAAATAGACGTGAAACAGACATACCGTCAGGTTTTCTTGTCTTCAGAGACCGCATTGTGTATGTGCATTGATTCCAGCGTTTCACCGTTGTTTCTTTGTTTAAAGAAAAAAAAAAGTAGACCATGTCTAGTTCGTCAGTTAGTAGATGCTTGCCACCCTGTGTTCAAGTAATCCCTGACGACGATCCACATGGTTATTGCTTGGAGTGCCTCGGGGAAGAGCATGCAGCTTGTGCCCTCGAGGACGCTGAGTGTGAGCACTGCGAGTTGGAGTAAGCCATACTCCTCGCACATATTTGTACCCATGACGTCGATTTCTTCCACTATCGTGGGTGCTAAGGCGCAGGTGACGATGCCTCAGGTGGAAGAGACGCTTGCAGGCTATCTCTCCCCGTGGAGTTCATTGTCACTCAAGAAGCCAACTCTCCCCACCAAGCCTTGCAGATTAACATCCTCGCTGGTGGGGAAGGCGTTCAAGCAGCGGGTCAGGCTGGTGCTGCCCTGCAAACCATGGCGGTTCTGCTGAAGGACCTGAGCACGGGCGGGAGCATTAGTGAGGAGGCGTTTTCAGAGCTGCGCCGAGCCACGGATCTGTCTCTTTGTGCGACCAAGCAGTCAGCCCACGCCACTGGCCGTTCTATGACTGCTATGGTTGCCATATATAGACACCTGTGGCTCAACCTCACGGGCATCAAGGATAGGGACAAGGTGTACCTCCTTGATGCCCCTGTATCACCTTCCGGCCTATTTGGCGACTCCATGAATACGGTCGTCAGTAGGTTCTGGGAGACACGCAGAGGCTTTTGATAAGTTTCTCCCCCACCGTGCTGAGGCGTCGTGGCTGTCGCCCACCTAGCCCCAACCCAGTCCGGTGGCGAGAGTCGCAGAAGGAGAGTGTGGCGAGCCGTGTGCTCCCTCGAAGGGACTGGGAAGCGGCTCGCCGCTCTCAGCAGCCAAGCAAGAAGCCGGATCTGAGGACGAACAGGGTCGAGTGCCCGGAACCGTGGGGAGGGGCGCGAAAAGTTCCAACAGAGAGTAGAGGCTCCTTCCTAGCACCCTCAGGGGGCCACTGTACAATCTCTGCCACCACTGGTGTTTCAGGGAGCAGCAACCTCCAGCGAAATGTTACATGTTCAGTTGCCTCCTGCCACGTTTCGGGACGCCGGACATCTAACATTGACCTCAGAACAAATTTCAAAATGTTGACAATCAGGATGATTGTGTCTCAGATCCGATCAGGTGATTGGTTTGTGACGATCGATCCCAAGGACGCATATTTTCACATAGAGATCTTGCCACAACACAGGAAGTTCCTGAGGTTCGCTTTCGGGGGCGAAGCTTACCTGTATCGGGTTATTCCATTCGGCCTAGCCTTGTCACCCTGCACATACACAAAATTCAAGTATGCAGCTCTGGCTCCTCTACGACTCCAGGGCATCCGCATTTTAAATTACATAGACGACTGGCTGATTTTGGCTCAGTCTCAGGAGCTAGCGCTTCGACATCGGGATGTTGTCCTAGCTCATTTCGAATCTCTGGGGTTGAGACTCAATGCCAAGAAAAGCGTTCTCTCTCCTGCTCAGAGGACAATGTATTTGGGGGTTGTATGGGATTCGATCCCCATGTGGACACAGCTGTCTCCTGCACGGGTCGGATCCATTCTAAACACCCTAAAGAACATCAAGCTAGGCCAGAAAGTTACAGTTCATTACTTTCAAAGGGTCTAGGTCTCATGGCAGCTGCATCCACGGTGATACCTTTGGGCCTCCTGCACATGAGATTATTTCAGTTATGGCTCAGAGCCAGGGGATTTCATCCAAGGGCCAATCTCCAGAGGCAAATAAGGGTTACGTGCCAGGGGCTTCATACACTATCTATGTGGTTCAGACCCCGGGACTTTGGGTCCCACTCTAGGCACGTGTTGTCATCGCAAGATGCTAATGATACTTTTGGGTCTCCTGCACATGAGATCATTTCAGTTATGGCTCAGAGCCAGGGGATTTCATCCAAGGGCCAATCCCCAGAGGCAAATAAGGGTTACGTGCCAGGGGCTTCATACCCTATCTATGTGGTTCAGACCCCGGGACTTTGGGTCCCACTCTAGGCACGTGTTGTCATCGCAAGATGCTAATGACAGACGCTTCCCTCACGGGTTGGGGTGCGGTCTTAGATGGCCGTCCAGCCCAAGAGATCTGGAGAGGTCATCTTCTCGACTGGCACATCAATTGCCTCGAAATGATGGCTCTATTTCGGGCCCTGAAATACTTCCTCCAGTAGTTAAGAGGCTGCCATGTCCTAGTGCGGGTGGACAACACTGCGCTAGTTTCTTACATAAATCGCCAGGGTGGACTGCGTTCGCGCCGCCTGAACAGGCTAGCACAGCAGGTTCTGCTTTGGGCACAGGACAAGTTCCTGTCCCTCAGGACGATTTACATCCCCAGGCATATGAAAGTGGGAGCAGACTTGCTGTCCAGACAAGCTGTGACATACGGGGAATGGAAACTCCACCCCGAAGTAGTCAGTCAAATCTGGGAAAAAAATTTACGAAGCAGAGGTGGACTTCTTTGCTTCGCAGGAGACAGCACAATGTCCCCTCTACTTCTCTCTGACTCCTCCAGCTCCCCTGGGTTTGAACGTGATGGCCCATACGTGGCCCAGACTGCGTCTTTACGCATTTCCCACGATCACTCTGCTCCCAGGAGTCCTGGCCAATGTCCGTCAACAAGGGTTTCACCTCTTACTGATAGCGCCCCGTTGGCCAACCAGAGTGTGGTTCTTAGATCTAATATCCCTCCTCGACGGCTCACCGTGGGTGATTCCGGTCAGGAGGGATCTTCTCTCTCAGGCACAGGGGACAGTGTTTCATCCCCGGCCAGAGCTCTGGAATCTTCATGTCTGGCCTCTGAGGGGGACCAACTAAGAGATGCTGGGCTTCCAGCCGACATAGTAGAGACTATTCTAAGTGCTAGGGCTCCCTCCACTTGAAGAAGTTATGCCCTCAGATGGCGTGTTTTCGAAAGTTGGTGTATGACACACCATGCAGACCCAGTTCACTGCCAAATTGTTTCAGTGCTGGAGTTTCTGCAAGAGAAACTGTCCTCAGGCACATGTCCTGGTATTCTTAGAACCTATGTGGCCGCTATTTCGGCTTGCCATGCTCTGATTGATGGGGTTTCTGTGGGAAAGCACCCTCTAGTTGCCCGCTTCATTCGTGGAGCCAAGCGGTTGAGGCCTCACACTAGAGCGGCAGTCCCTTCATGGGACTTAGCTGTAGTGCTCGAGGGTCTGGTTGACACCCCTTTCAAGCCACTAGAGTCAGCACCTGTCAGGTTTCTGACCCTAAAGATGGTTTTTCTAATGGCTATTATTATCTGAAGAGAGATGGGGATTTGCAGGCTCTGTCAGTCTCACCATCCTGCCTAGACTTTGCCCCTGGGCTGATCAAAGCTATTTTGCATCCTCATCCTAATTATCTTCCGAAAGTTCCATTCTCGACCATACATCCGGTGGTTCTTCAAGCCTTCTGCCCTCCGCCGTTCATGACACTGGAGCAAGAAAGACTTCATTTACTGTGTCCAGTACGTGCTCTTCAGATTTACGTCCACCACACTAGCAGCTTTTCATATGCTATGGGGGCCGCAACCGGAGGCAGCTGCCACTAAGCAAACAATGTCACATTGGGTGAGGGATGCTATTGCCCTAGCCTACGAGGTGCGTGGTCAAGCTTCGCCTCTAGGAGTAAGCTACTCCATGCTACTCCGGGCTCGCGTGTCCTTGAGTCAACATCCCAGAGTCATGTCTGAGACCTCTTCAATATTTGTGCACACACTACACAACCTTGGGGGGTCCAGACACTTCCAGTGCAGCGGCTTTGGTATTCTCGTTCCCATCAGCGTTATTGAAACGCAGCATCGAGAGTAGCTTTTGATAGGGAACGTCTCAGGTTACTTGACTGTAACACTGTTCCCTGAAAAAGCGGGAACGAGATGCTGCGCCTCAATGCCGCACTGTAGGTGTGACTGAGCGTCTCTTCAGACAAGGGTTTAACCTGAAGGTATGTCCATTTCACGTCTATTTATAACCTGCAGGTGCATGTAATCAAATGACGTCACCCACCGAGGTTATATAAGCCAATTCTTGGGTGTTCGCACACGTGCTTCACAACCGGTCGAACAAAGAATGTTCTCATCAGCGTTATTGAAACGCAGCATCTCGTTCCCCCTTTTTCAGGGAACAGGGTTACAGTCAAGTAACCCGAAACGTTCCCTTTAAAACTATCTATATGATAGTGTACTCCTAAACTTAATTCACATAAGACAGATAATTCACTTTAGACAAACATATACTTTAAAACTGTACAGTCTACTGTATGTCTTCTAATGAAACGGATCAAAATGTGATGTGGAGTGCCGCCCCACTTTTTCAAGAAGCACATCAAACAGGAAAACAGGAAATAAAACTGTGCTTTGTCAAATGATTTTAAGGAGACTGATTTTCAGGGCCGGCCCATCGCATAGGCGAAATAGGCAAATGCTAGGGGCACCCAAAAAAGTTTTTTTTTTTATAATATTATTTTAGTTATTTTAGTACACCTCAAAAAGAATAAAGCATTTTGAATATAATTTTCAACAGTTAGTGTCTGTTTAGTGTCTTACCTTTATATACTGTATCAACTAATTTGTCTCTCTAATTAATCTAATTTTTACTTGCTTACAGTCGTCAAGTCAGAACCTCATCTGGTCGAAATATGCTAAAGAGCACAAGTGTTAGCGGTGACATCAACGCAACTGAGCGAACAGACGGCAGCCAGTCTGACACTGCCCTGGGAACAGTCGGAACCGGAGCAAAAAAACGTCGCTCCAGTCTCAATGCTCGATTCGTGGCTATCGTGGGAAACCGTCGCAGCCGAAGCACCTCACAGATCAGTCAAACAGGTTAGTGTCTGTAGCTACTCCTTTCTGCTGATGTAACCAAGGCCAACTTGGCATTATGTGTTATATTAACCAATAATGCCACAGTGCATTTAAAGGTCCCCTGAAATGCTTAGAAACACGCATCGTTACTCTATGTGTTGACGTGATTTTAACTGAAACAGGAAGACAGGGCGGGACATATCAAGCAGCCCCGCCCCTTTTTAAAATAGCCAATAGCGTTCGTTTATATCACAGCTTGGGCTAGAGCCGTTCAGAGCCGTTGAGCTCCGTAAAGCCGCATTTGACAGGGTATGCCAGCCACAATCTCATCCATATTGCTATAAAATATAGCATGCTGTGTAGAATTCAAATAGCTCCGATACATTTTGTGGTCTGCGCATGTGATCCGCTCCGTGCTATCGTGTCTCTGGACCGGAGCAGAGTGTGTGTGCGGTGTGGTGGTTAGCAATGCGAATTTTGTCACTGTTTTGGAGCACACTGCCTTATAGATAACCTTAAGACTAACATATTGATACTAACACCCAAAAAACTTTAATTTTGATTTCATGGGGACTTTAAATCTAAAAATAAAAAATAAAAAACTCATCCTGTTATTTTATTCCCTATTTAAATTTTTATGTGAATTAAAAATGAGATTTTATATATTTTTAAGCACAATAATTTAAACAAATGTAAAATACATTTGTAAACTTTAGAATTTCTACTTGATCTGACTCAGAGAAATTTCTTTGTATTGGTCTAACCTAATGTGGTCAGGCTGATTTAGTCACATAAAATCAAATTTTTGACACAACATATGCTCATTGAATTTGCCTCTACCTACATTTTTGTTTCCAAAAACATGCCTATAAATATAATTCACCGCATTTTCCAGCTGAAATAAACACTAGTGGTAGTAAAACACCAATAACTTCCTTTTCAAACTAATTATGACAACAGGGGTAGATTAAATAAGACTTATTTTCACATGGTTCCTTGCACAATACAATGTTATGACCTCAAAACATTTTTACCATTGTGCATGATTTGGAATCTAATACATTTTCAGAAAATCAACTCGATATGTATGTAGTAAACTTAGCAATCAAGGACTAGTCCCGTGAAACACGTCACGATAAAAGAGCTCGAAGACTTGTAGAAGCCAGTGATAATGGCATGGTTGCCTTAGCAAATGTGTTTTTATCTCACATTTTCTTTTGATAACGCTGTCGGTTAGGTTTATTGTACTTTCAAAAGCAATAGAGCATTAACCTTTTAGCGCTAATCACTGGACAACATACATATAATAACCAACATAAAAAAAAATGTTGCCACATTCACATTCATCTGTTTCGGAAAGAATTGAACACGCTTTTATCACCAATTTTTATTGCACATTTCAGTCTGAAAGTGTTGTGAAATGTGCAAGAAGCAATGTAATATAATTTGCAGAAATGACAGAATAGGCGCATTTTGGCCAATGAGCCTTGGAAACCAGTTCATATAAATGTTTTCAAGATTTCTATTTTAAGTATTATTGCTAGACAACATAAGAGGGTACTCAGTGTTTATGGCACTGCATTTTAAACCCACTTATGCTGAATTCAGAACTGCGTACAAGCATACTACTCCTACTATTTCTGCCATATAACAATACAGTGAAAATAGTAAGAGTAGTAAGAGAGTGTGTGGTTCCAAATTCAGCATTTGTCTTGATTAGTATCTTGCTATGAGTTCAAGTTTATGCTTTAGCTATGGTTTGTCCTCATCAAACATGAACAGCGTACAAAAGGGCACCTGTGGCCATTTTAGTGCTTTTAGATGTTAGGACTTACTCTGCATTGTTTGGTATAATAAGATTTTTCATCAGGCGACTCTTGTCCCTGCCACAGAGCTTGTTCCTTTTGAAAAAGTCTTGAAAGCACATTAGAGGAGTCTAAGACCTCCGGGGGAACTGCATTTTGTTCTCTCTGATTTATGTAAGCAGACAAAAGGGGATTCAGGATGAGGAGACATGCCCTTGTTTTTAAGAGAGATAAAGGGGGGTGGTTAATGCAGTACGGTTAGCGTCCATCCCGGTGGGAGCTACAAGCACTGTCAAATTATTTTGCTGTGTGCTTTTAACATCAAAAAGGATGTAGTGTAGTAAAGAGATAGTGTGCAGCTTGACCAGTATTGTTTAGAGAGGACATTGATCCAACTTTTTAAAACTTTATCACAGAAAATCATGTGAGAGAGAGATACTGATTTCTCTTTTTTTTTCCCTCTAAAATTAATGATACAAACTACTCTTAAAAGTCTCTTTTCCTGATTGTTTGTGAAATCTGTCCATCTTCAGAGGCATCCAATAAGAAGTCAAAGGGCAGTCAAGGGACGATCCAGCGCAGTCAGGAGACGGGAATGGCTGTGGAATTGCAGAGGAATATGAGTCGTCAATCCAGCCGTGAATCCAACAACGGAAGCATGAACAGCTACAACTCAGAGGGCAGGTAAGTTTCCTTGTGCTTTATTAGTAATCAAATTTGGCATACTTTTAAATGCAGGAATTCCCCCCATGAGAAATTTTTTTTTTTTTTTGTATATTGTACTGCATTGGTGATGCACTTTTCCAAACATCTGTTGCATATTCTCTAAAACAACATGGAAACATTTGTTCTTGTTATCATTTCATACCAATAGCCAGTTCTTGTATGTACATGTCTGTCCTAAAATATGGGTCATTTGGAGCAATTTCCTGTTTCTGTATTTATAATGATCCAACATAATTTAACATTTTTCATATTTTCCCCATCTTAAACCAAGATTATTATTGTCTAGAAATAGCAGCCTCCTTAAGTGTCCTTCCTGTTACCATGACAACCGTCAGTCAGGCATGGGTCATTTGGAGCAATTTCCTGTTTCTGTATTTATAATGATCCAACATAATTTAACATTTTTCATATTTTCCCCATCTTAAACCAAGATTATTATTGTCTAGAAATAGCAGCCTCCTTAAGTGTCCTTCTTGTTACCATGACAACCGTCAGTCAGGCATTGCCGTTATGCCATTAAAAAAAAAAAAACTGTTCAGTTTGTGGGAACAACATGCCTGTATACAAACCTACAATACTTTGGGTACATTGATCATTAAAACAAGATCGATTAAACATTGATTTTTTTTGTTCTCCAAAACTCTCAGATCTGATTAATAAAGGTTGGAATGCACTACATGATTTTTGCCCCGATTTTCCCCAGATTTACAGTTTAGATAAGTCGATGCTAGTTGCCGAAAGTCAGAGCCAGTCTGCAGAGTGGAGTTGACAGATTCCATAGAAAATTGAGTAGTGTATGATGGTCACAGACTTTTTTTTAGAAGCCAGTTTTAGGACACGTTGTTTTCACATGTTTTTTCATCTCCTGAACGTTTCTGCGTGAGTTTGTTGTGATCAGAACAACTTGAAAGTCTGGTAGTGAATGATCCTCAGTCATTTAGTGTATGATGGCCAGTTTTCCTTTGTCACTATTCACAAAGTCGCTAAGTGTATGATGCCTAGTGTTTTAAAAATCTATTCAGATTTTAAAAGACATGTAGTGTATTCCAGCCTTAGATTTCCTTAAAAAGTCAGAAAGAACAACACCTGCAGTATTTCTTATCAATGTTTGTCTTGGTCAGTCCAATCTTCCCAGCAGTTCGAGTCGAGACTCAATTCAGTGACTTTCTGGATGGACTGGGGCCTGCTCAATTAGTTGGTCGACAAACCCTTGCCACACCAGCAATTGGTAAGATTTTTTTTAATTTATTTTTTTTTGAAGTTTTTAATTTTTTTTTCTAAAAACTCTTTCTCCCTTGTAGCATACTATCCTTTCCCATTTGCTGTAAGTTGTTTACAAATCTTAATTCATTATACATAATTATATATGCTATTGATTGTGATTAATTTTATTAATTTTATTTAATTAATTGATTGCATATATAAATATTTGTTGAAAAAAGGCACCAATGTAATTTCAGACATTATATTATTGAGGTAGATGAATAGAAAGAATTTAGAATTTAGTTCTGTTGTATTATTATTTCTGTACTTGTAATTATACTAAATACATTACATTTACAGCCCTAATTCACTTACATATTTCAGTACAAAATAAGAAAAATAACTGCTTATGGAAACCGCAGTATGTCAATAATGTTTTTTGCATGAACCATTTGAGTAAATGCATTAAGCAAATGTACCATTTAAATAAAATTGATATTTTTAGTAGTTGGTTTTACTTGCATATTCTGTGATATCCAGGTGACATTCAGATTGGCATGGTGAATAAGAAAGGCCAGCTGGAGGTGGAGGTGATAAGAGCACGAGGTCTCATCCAAAAACCAGGGTCCAAATCACTCCCCGGTGAGTCACTTCTGCTCTATTCTGAACTCACTGCATGTGATTCAAGCTCCATATGTATCTTATTACTCAGCCAGCATATAACTCATCGAGCAGTTCTAGCTGATACAAAAAGCAGTCAGATTTATCAGAGCTAGTCTACTGACTAATGTCAGTATACATTGTTAATATCTGCCTAATTTGATTCATTCTTTACATAGCTCCATATGTCAAAGTCTATCTTCTACACAACGGGGCGTATGTAGCTAAGAAGAAGACAAAAATTGCACGCAAGACACTCGACCCGCTGTACCAGCAAACGCTGCAGTTTGAAGAAAGTCCACAGGGTAAAGTGTTACAAGTGAGTCATCTGGTTAATTGGTCTTTTTTCAACATGTAGTTTCAATCCAGTTGAACGAGACTTCTGTGAGAAAATGGCATTGAAGGGCTGCGTGTCTAGTTTAAATGGATCACATTCGTGGGATTAGATATTATTAACTTTGATTATGTGACCTGAGAGGGCCATCCACTGATGAATCTGTTGATTTTCATCCTATTAGGTAATTGTCTGGGGAGATTATGGGCGAATGGACCACAAATCCTTCATGGGAGTTGCACAAATCCTACTAGAGGAGCTGGACCTCTCCAGCAATGTGATTGGCTGGTACAAACTTTTCCCGCCTTCTTCCCTAGTCGACCCAACTCTTGCCTCTCTAACTCAACGTGCTTCTCAGTCATCCCTGGACAGTTCACCGGCACCTGCGGGGGTTCGATCGTAGTGGACTAATAATATAAAGCACAGTCTGAAAGACAACGGAACAACAATAAGAGCAAGGCAGGAAATGCGATGAAATAACACAAAGCTTTGTTCAAATCTGACAATCACTTCTGTGACATTGTTTTTATTTTCCTCTTTGTGGGTAGCCCGTGTTCTGCCAAATTTGTTTGTCCTAAACGAAATCGTTTGTTTCTCTCACTGTTTGTTACGTGAGACTTAGGGCTGTCTACACTAGCATGTGAGAAGCACCGCTTTAGGGCGACATAGAAAGCAGGGTGATATTCAGTCAAGTCTTCATTGAAATCTACATTAGCTAGGTTTTAACAGAGCATCAGAATGTATCAACCCAAAAACAAAGGTGACCTCTGACCAAGGGATTGTGGGGCTTCAGTCGAGGCCCTGTCTAAACCCTGTTTGTACTGATAGTGAAAGGTCAAGAACTTGAAAGACGTAGGGCATCCCCTGGGGAGGTTGTCTGGAAGGGCAGGGCCTTTCTTGGTGCCTAAACCTGGAGGACCCAAAGCCATGATCCATTTTCTCCAAAAAGTTCCTCTGTTCTCAAAGTTTGTGACATCTAACGGAGGTCGCTCTCGTCTAGAATTTTTTTATTTTTTTTATTTAGCTTCTTTTTTTTAACATCTCTAGCACGTTTTACGATAAACAAGAGGTTTGTGTTGTCCAGTGTACTGTGAAAATGACAGGAAATGCTAAAAAAAAAAGAAATCGAAGACAACGTATCTGGAAAAATACACATTTCTTTGCACATTTTTATTTACTTTTATTAACTGAAACTATTACATTAATCTACAGTACGTTGCAATACATCATCTTATCCAGTGAACTGAATTCGATTTTTAGATATTTACACTTATCATTAAATGCTATTAAAAAGTAGATATTTAGTTAATGAAAAACACCATGTACCAAGATAAACATATTTGTGTATTTGTACATTTTCCAATTTACGGTCTTTGGTAAAGGAAATCTATACAATCATGTTTTCATCTGTCGAGTAAATCTTGATACATAGAGTTTTTCGGACACTAAACTAACTTTTTAACTTTGTTTGATGGTAAGTGTTTGTGTAGATGCATATTTCTCTTTTTAGTATATGTGGTTTAGCAAAAGCCACTTTCAACTTTAATTGTATCACTCTGAGGTCACACGATTGGCCCAAGCCCTTGCACATAAAGCATAAAGCACAAAAGCTTGATTTTCACATTTAAAAAATCAGATTAAAAAATATCTAAAAAATAAAATCAAGCCAACTAACTTGTTAATTTCATTTCTACTTTGTGTACTTTACAGAAAACAGAGAAAAGAGTCATGCAAATGCAAATTCCTCTTGTGTGTCTCTGTAAATGTTGAAGTGACCAATCTGATTTTTCCATCACGAGCATAAACACCAATCATCTATCAGGCCACTGGCCCCTCCCTCCAGTGTGGCGGAGCAGCATGACTCAGATCAGTTCCCAGCTGCATGCACATTTTTGTAAAACAGACTACACAAATGTTAAAAAGTAACAGAAATAGATATGTGTTAGTTCAACATACTGTAGGCCAGCTTGTATGTTGCATGTACCTGTACAGTTTGCTTGTACTTGAATATAAGAGATAAACCAAGAAAAAGAAGCCATTTGCTTTCACTCAGACTTTTCAGATCAGCTATAAAACTAGTTCATGTCCTCCATCCGGTGCTGAATGTTGGAACCTTTTTTTTTTTCTTTTTTCAAGTTTTTGATTATTGCTTTTTTGTCTTTTATATCCCTTAAGGGAAAATGTGCTGTACTGTAACACTGAACAAAAACTAACCTCCCTCATGTTTTACACATTTTACTGTATCATAATTTACCTCAAAACCACAGAAAATAACCTAGAAAATATGTATACATCCCATCAAGTTATTCAAGAGTATACCAATATCAAAACAGGAAATGTCAAAAATATATCATACATACATAACAATATCCATAATAAATATAAATGTAAATGCACAGAGACTTATTAGCGCATGTGTTGTAAATATGAGATGACCATGTGGTTAAGCCATATTTGCAAAGGGGCCAAGGCTTAATTTTGAGAACAACCATCCCAATATAAGGGACCGCTGAGCGGACACCTTTCTTATCATATGGGTCCAAATCTAGAGCTCTCACTGTCACTTTTAGAGGGCTGAACCACTCCGCTCTAAAGCTGTAGCCAGATCGACATTTTCTCTGTGTTTTCGAGTCAAATTCTTCACCTCTGCTATCAGAAAATGTTGATTGTTTTTCTTCATGAGAGACAGGAGTTTATTTTACTTGATCAGTGTTCTTGGGTAGAGGGGAAAAACAATGCTGACTGTTTACAACTTCTAGTATGTGTTCCACTGAGATTATGAAAAAGAAAAAGTATTCACTGCAACATTTCTGTTTGTATACAGGTGTGGCTCATACGATGTGTATGTTTTATATAAAAAAAAAAAAAGGAAAAAAAGTTCATTTTTATTATTTCCAAATAAAAAAAAGTGTGTGAAAGAAATTTCAACCCGATGTTTGTTCTTTTCTTTTACTGTACATGGAACGTTTTATTCATCAACAGTGATTAGACAAACTTAAGCTCATATATTACCCCAGATTTGAAAAAAAAAACAAGATTAGAGTTTGAAAATAAATAAACGTACTTACTGCTTTTGAGTGGAGGGAAATAACAGAGATAGTAATATCTCAAATGACATCATCCAACTTACAGCAGTATTATGGGAAGCTAATGTATATGGGAGACTGGCTAGTTGTCTCACATTTTGCTCAATAATGGGACATGTTGTCACATATGTGTTAAGAATCTGCCATTCATTTTTATATCATCCACCTTATTTTGCAACGTGGAATGTTTATTTCTTATTTTGCAACGTGGAAGCGCATATAGGTAATAACTAGAATAATAAAAATGGCAGTAAAAGGTTCAACTATTTCCTCTACAAACCAGTGTGTTTATAGGTATGACAATACATTCAAATATTATTTTAAGAAATACCAGTTAATATCAAGCAATATCAAGCAGCATATCAAGCTTTTCTGCAGCTAAAAATAACTCCGAAGCCTCACACATTCAAGAGCCCAGTTTTATGTTAAAAATAAAGTGGAATGCTTTTTTCTTTCTTTTTTTTTGGTAACACTTTATTTTAGGGTCTCTTAACTAGTTGCTTATTAGCATGCATATTACTAGAATATTAGCCATTTATTAGTACTAATTAAGCACAAATTATTGCCTTATTCTACGTCCCTAATCCTACCCAATACCTAAACTTAACAACTACCTTACTAACTATTAATAAGCAGCAAAGTAGGAATTTATTGAGGGAAAAGTTGTAGTTAATAGTGAATAAGTGTTCCCTATTCTAAAGTGTTCCCCTTTACTTAAAGCAGACAAAGAACACTTATAAATAATAAGACCACATTATAAAGCCTTTTGGATGTATTCATGAAGACTTTGTATTTGTCATTTTACAGTAAAAACACTAATAAGATGTACTAAATGATGAAGCCAACATAAGAGCCTATCTTTAAAATTTCATCTTTATATTTGTGCATTGCTTTGTTGATTTCTTAGTTTAGAGACTAACTGGTAGTGCTTTTTATACATTTTATTTGGTAACACTTTATTTTAGGCTCTCTTAACTAGTTGCTTATTAGCATGCATATTACTAGAATTTTAGCCATTTATTAGTACTAATTAAGCACAAATTATTGCCTTATTCTACGTCCCTAATCCTACCCAATACCTAAACTTAACAACTACCTTACTAACTATTAATAAGCAGCAAATTAGGAATTTATTGAGGGAAAAGTCGTAGTTAATAGTGAATAAGTGTTCCCTATTCTAAAGTGTTACCCTTTTTTGTAGAATTTAAATGGGTATAAAACATCACAGGTGTCATTCGTGCGTGGGACATGTCCCAGTCGGTTCAGTTGCCACCACTTTTTGAGAGGCACTGAGAAAAATAGCTTGACAAGGACATGTAGGCCTTAGCAGTCATTCTTCATAGTTTAATTCATATATGTAACACAAAACACTTCTGCGCCATCCAGAACATCAGACGTCCAATTTATAAACCTTACCACGCACATATCATGATATATCATGATTATAAAAAGAAAATTAGACTACGTAAATTTGTCCGCACAGACTAAACACTCTGGACCACCAATGCTTTCCATTTACACACACACAGATCAAATATGCTACATGAAATTATCCAGAAATGTAAAAATTACATGGAGTTAAACTGTAAATAGCACAGCTTTTGCATTGTTTTGCATTAAACGTTGTAATAGCACTTTTGACCCAAACTTTACAGTTACTGAAATATATTTATTATATATTTGTGACAACTTACCTAGGTCTGCTCTATTGCCATACCAATGATGATTGAATGGTGCCGCTTGAGTTATCCTTACAGTCACCAGCAGAGGGCAGACGTTTGTTAGAATCTTCTTCAGAGAATCAGCTCGTGTAATTCACAGTGGAGAATCATGAACTTTTTGCAATACTCAGACGCAAGAAGAAGTATGCAATTATGAAGCATCTGGGTTGCCTTCGTTTTAAATCGTACATTTTAGAGTTAATTAATAGCAAGAACTAGCCTATCTTTTGATTCATTCTAAAATCAAGAACCGTATGACCACGTCAGGACACTTAAAACAGAGATACAGGTAGCCAGATTAATGTAGCCTACTTACCATCAAAAATAATCAACAAACTCCGCCTTAAGCAAAAAGTAACTATATGCGATTCACTTAACCTATATTGTCTCCTGCCGTCTATTGCAGTGCAACATGATTGCATGCCCTTCCCTGTTGCCTCGCGAGCTCACGTCACAGCAATTAGCCTGATACGTGTCCCTGTGTTCAGCCAGTGACCCCAGTGCTCCACTCATGACTGATGGCAAGTGATGGTGCGGGTTGCAGCAACAGAGGTCATGAAATTCAGAAGTGGTTTCCATTTTGGACTTTACTGGATCATTTTCTCAAGTTTATCACCATAAAAAACGCATAAGAGAGTGAGTCTAGTTAACACCAGTCCTGTAGCACGCAGCTGGTGAAGTGTATATTTCTATTCTTAGCCCTTGATGAGCCAGAATGAATGCGAGTCTGAGGGTAATTATTCCTCTAATGTAGACGATTGGAACTCCATCGCATACTGTTTTCAGAGTCCTACTGTGTTTTCATACATGCTGGATTCTGAGTCATGGGATATAAGGTTGAGAAGCAAATGGAATGCAGCCCATGAGCCACGTGTAAATGATAATTTGTCAGAAAAGAAATATGCAAGAAGGGGGAAACGTAGGCTACTTATTTGGAGAATTACAGAAGGTGCTAAGATTGTGATGCTGAGTCCTGAAACAATGTGAAATGCTTTTTGGTATTAAACAAACAAATAAATAATCTGAACAATTGAATTTGGTTTCACCATCCTGGTAACGCTCGTTTACTGGTTAATTATTTAGTATGGAACAAATCCTGCACAAGATGTTGCTCATTGCTGCAGCACACAAGATGCTCACTACTGATCGCAAGAAAGGCGCTTTGAACCGAACTGAAAAGGAAGCACAGTGGTCGA